TTTAAAAACTGATTGGCTAAAATAAATAGGATAAGTTTAATAAAATTTTCAAACTTTTGTGAAAAATTTCAATAAAATCTTAAAAAAAAAAATTTCAAAAGAAATTATCAATTATTTAATAATTTGTCTAAATTAACGAAAAAACATTTTTATATTTGAACAGTAAATGATAGATTATATGATTTTTTTCAAATTAATAAAACTTTTATGTTAAAAAAAGAAAGTTGATGACTTTTTTATAAAATTTACGATTTTTCTATAGTAGTGGGCTTTTGACAAACTTGGGCAAGAACTTAACAGGTTCCACTTTAACACTTTGGTTTGTACTATTTCATAGAGTGTTGATATCACATAACATAGAGTTGATGTAGGACCATGGCTAGACATAATAGTAATGACAGTGCTATACAAATAAATTGAAAAACATATTTTTAATACATGTCATAGTATTGCGTCAATAGCATGTGGTAACTCAATAATACCCGAGTTGTGATAAAAATGGATAATTACTTAAAAAGGTAATATATTTTTTGATTTGTACATATTTAGTCATTGATTTTCTTTCATCAACATTTACCCATTAATCTTGTTAAATTGTACTGTAACGTCTGTTCCATGTATTATTTAAATTGATTAGTTTTTAGCATTTTGTGCATGAACTCGGCGAGTTGGAGAGCTCCAACTCGTCGAGTAGACACTATTAGGTAACATGGGATTTAAACCCTACTCGACGAGTCGGAAGGCCCCGACTCGACGAGTAGGCTCTGTAGAGAGAAACCCTAATTTTCAGGAGTTTGTACCATATTTAAAGGATTTATGGCTCATTTGTAGCCTCCATCATTGTCTTCACAGCCCAGAAAGAAACCCTAGCTGAATATTTGAGCTTCCTTGAGTGTGTGTGAGTCTTAGAGAGTAAAACTTGTGCTTTTGAGAAAAAAAAAAACTTGAAGGTTGAGGAGCTTGAAGAGAGGATAAGGCATGAGAAATGCAACATTTACTGGTTGTAAGCATCTATTTAGAGGTAAAAAGTTACCACCTTGATCACTATTTGCTTAGATCTCATTTCATGTAAGGATACGGTCACTTTTGGGTATAATATAGAGTCATATTCGGATCTGGTCTTATCATAAGGATATGGTTCTAGATCTGGACCTATCTAGGTCCCCAATGCCATAAAGTTGCTCACTTTATCCAGCTTAGGCTCTTTCCATGCACTAAAACCTTGTAGGAAGCTTAATTTTGATGTCATGACCTTTAAGGACCTTGCATGTTCGTAAAGTTTGGAACTTTATGTGGTATCTGGACTCGAGAAGGTTGGATCTGAAGTTTGGGACCTTAGGTCCCACTGAAAATGACTGAACATAAAAGTCTACTGAAGGAAATCGTCGAGTCCCTTAGTTAACTTCGACAAGTCGGGGTAGGGTTTGCTCGTTTTTGAGTTTATGATTGAGTTTCTGAATGGACTTTAGGTTTTCTGGACATTTAATGAACTTGACGAATCATTAAGATGACTCGGCGAATTGACTCGGGAGTCAATGGTATGAACTCGGGAGGAACTCGACGAGTTACTAGATGCACTCGACGAGTTGAGGTCAACATTGACTGTTGACCTTGATTGTTGATCTTGACTTTGAGCAGGGTTGACTCTGAGGGTATTTATAGGATTGTGACAAGTTAATCACATGTTGATTATATGTAGTTGTGGATCTAGTCAAAAGTCCTTAAAACCGAGATTTGCATCAAGTTATATGATACTAGCATAAATTATATTACTACATACATATCATTTTTAGAAAAATAACCAAGTGGTTTGATATTAACTTCTTTGGGCTAAAAACTCATTTTTGGGCTTAAAATATTAAAAATATAAAGTTAAAGGGCCCAAAATGACAAGATACAAATTCTGATGTTTGAAATATGTCAAAAAAGTTTCAATAAGGTATTTTCTGGAAATATATTCTTTTGAAGGATTAAAATGTAAAATATTAAGCATAATGGGCCAAAAATGGAATTTTCAGCCCAATAAAGCCCAATATGCGAGATTTTCAAATTTGAAGGGCTGAAACTGTATTTTTCTGTAAAACAGGCGACTACTAGTGCTCCAAGTCCATTTCAAGGGTTAAAAACACTTTTCATATTTAAAAAGGACCAAAGATGCAAAAATTTTCTATTTTGGGACAAAAGTGTAAAAGTTGCGAAAAATGAGGATTCAACCGAGAAAACATCATTTTGAGGGACTAAAACTGTTTTCAAATAAATATGAGCTGAAAAATACCATTTTCAACAAGTTTTGATATTAAAATGTCAAGAAAAATGGTCTAAGGACTAAATTGGAAATTCTTTTATTCAAAGGGTTAAAAGTGTAAACTCATAAAAGAAAAGGGATGCAAACAGAAAAACTCCAAATTTTAAACAATAAGTCCGTTGAGATAAAATACTGGTACCGCGACTACCGACAAAACCTAATACACCATCAACACCAAAAATCGTTACTAAATAAATTGATTCGGTCTCGAATCAATAACGAATCTGAAACTACTAACACGACAATATTCAATACACACGCGGACATTTCGGGAGTTCAATACATACGTGGGAATACACAGACATCGATACACCATCTTTGGGGGCCAAAAGTGTCAAATCTTGCTTATTGGGCCTAGCTAGCCAAATGACTTGATCTTTAGGCCCGAAGACAACTTACTTACATGGTTGTTGGGTCTTACATGACCTAACTCCGTGTAAAAGGACTTTCAATGGCATTTAGGCTATTGGGCCCCAAGGGTCCTTTGGTATGGCTAGTAAAGTCGAGAATTCACAAAAATGCGGGTCGGGCCAAGGGCCTTTCGCATTCACTATAGCCTTGAACGACTTATGGAATTATTGAGGCCCTTCGTGCCCTCTTTTCTCCTTGGTTGTGGGGCTACGAGAAGTCAGAGTGGTTGGATTAAGTTAATATTACGGACGACGCCTAAGGGATCGTTAGTATGGTTGTAAATTAGTCGTTTCTATTAACGCGTGTTTATAACAATTCACAATTCACATTTAATTCAATGTCACCTGGAATCATTGACTTCACATGTCGCAACGATACAACACCACACAAAAAGCGTAATTCAAAGTATTAGGAAAACATCGTGTTTTCCTAGGGTTTTTCAATACATACAACTATGAGATGCATAACAAGTACAACAAATTCTTTGTTTTTTTTTTTTTACATTTATAGAAACAAACAATTATACTTACGGATCTTCACACTTTTTATACGATACTCTTTTCAGAAAATATCGGATTTTCCTGGTGGTTTTTAAAACAATACAAAACATTTTATTTCAAACATTACTTATGAACTCACCAACATTTCATATGTTGACGTTTTTCAAAATGCTTGTATTCTCAGGTAACAGGTAAATTGAAGGGAAAAATGTATTTAGTGACGTTATGTTGTTTGTTTAACTATTATCGAACAATTTACTTTTGGGGATGTAATGTTTAAAACAATGTACTAAGTGTAAACTCTACCAATTGTACTATCTCAATGCATGGTGATGAATGATGTTATGTTTCATGTATATTCAATGTAATGGTATTCAATTGAGTCACAACAGCCCTCGGACGTTTCCGCCATCTGGTTCGGGGGTGTGACAGTTTTCAAATCGAAGAGTTACATATAAAAGGGGATTCAAGGGTTCATTATCAGTTTATGCTTTCATCTTACTAAAGTTTCTCTAATAATCATCTGCTTTCAAACCCTAAAAATGGCGACTGCAATTCCTGTTGCTACTCTTTCTCACACAACTGATGATGTTACTTCTCTGCCAATCATGAAGATTCAGGGTACTAATTACCAGGTTGAATCCAATGTTTCTTTGTATCCTGAAGAATTGAAAATGTTGGTGGTTGCTCTACAAAACTCGGTATTATCAAAGGACCTGTTCAACTCATTCTCTGTTCCTCTTTCTTGGTTATCTCAAGCCAGTTCAATTGCACCTTATTCAAAAGCTTTGGATGTTGTTACATTCAACCTCATCAACGATAAAAAGGTTAGATTATCAAAGAAGCTTTTCTGCCAAATCCTTGCCATACCTAATTCACCACCATATGTTACTTTTACCTTTCCGCAAATCGTACATATGTTCAATGAAATGGGTCATTAACCCCAATTGACAAAGATTAGTGACTTCAAGAAGTTAGAGTTACCAAGTGTATGTAATTTTCTGTTTGGGATTTTTCTTCGGTGCTTAACTGGCAGAACGGTTGCGCTAGATAAGGGAAGAATGGAGATGTACGCCATGGTTGCAGGTTTGTACTATGATCTTCAAGTAGATTACTCCACACAGCTATGGAAGGAGTTTCAAAAGAGTATCAAAAACATGAATGCTATTCATGGCATATCGTGTGCTCGATATTGGAGTTTGATTATGCAATATTTCTATGAAAAGGAAGGAATTTTAGTTCCAGCAGAAGAAGAAAAAGTTGTGTTTCATACTTATGGATGTCTGAAGGATGCTACAGTTGACTTGGATGTATTCCCTTTTGCTGTTCGTATCCCTGATGCTATGCTAAAAAGGGTAGATTCTACAAATCTTGTATTGATTACTTATTTGAAATCAATAGATTCTTCTGTGGAAACGGGTGTTCTTTTATCACAAACCATTGAGAAGAAGTCAAAGAAGTCGAAGAAAACTGATGATAGGTCTTTGGGTACCAAGGTGAAGCCAACCAGTTCTTCTAAAAGTCTGAATCAAGTTCCTATTATTGAAGCCGAGCCAATCCAACCGGAGCCTATTATTGCTGATACCCAGTTAACTGAAAAGGAAGTTATTCCTTTGAAGACTGGTGTATTTATATGATTCAAAATAAATTCGAAGTCAAAGCATAAGGGACGATCTTCTCTTTCGAATATTGTTCGCAAACCTCAAGTATCACATCAAGGGGTAATTTTTCGTGAAGTACCTACTCCTGCTTCACCATCTTAGAAAAAACGAATAGCTACTGACATGGCAAAACAAATCTCAAAGAAGAAGAAGCGTAGGGTGATTCTTTCCTCGGAATTTACTGCAGATGAGGGTGAAACTATTCCTGAAACACCTGAGGCAGATTTGATTAAAGATTCTTCTCAACTGGATACTTCTGTTAGTACACCACCTGAAGTTTCGATTGCTAAAACAGTTACTGTGGAGGCACGAACTTCAGACATCCCTGTAAACATATCTGATATGGATACAAATGTCATCATGGGTGAAGACGATTCAAATAAAGCAACAAAAGGTAACCCTTCGAGTGTTGTTTCAGATTCTTTCATTTCTTTACCTCCACAGATTACTCCCATTGTTCCTTTAACATCCACCATTGTTTTTTAACAACCTTTCCCAACTATTTTTTCTTCACAATCCACTAATCCACTAGCCACTACTTCTCCGATAAAAGATTCATTCATGGGTATGGAAAATGATTCTGAAGGTTTTGGGGTACTTTTGAGAATATGGAATTTGATGAAGAGGAAACAGACTTCCCAAATCATATGTTCATGATGATGAAACAATTCAAAATCTTGAATACGAAGCTCAATTCGATTATTCAATCTCAAGCTGATCTTGGGGGAGGTCATTCTATTTCAAGTCTTGAATTTGATGGCATGTTGTCTTTACTTGAAGCAAGATTAACCACAAAAGTCTTTGGCATGTTGAAAGATTCAGAGTCTCGTTTATTGGAGAAGATTGATCTTTGTGATCAAAATAATGAATTACGAGTGAATTCTCAGAAGTCTTGATTTGCATCTGACTTGAAAGATTTGAAGATGGTAGCAGAAGAGAGGCATGCGATGTTTGTTCAGGATGTAAAGAAGGTGAGAGAAGATGTAAATTTCAAACTCCAGGAACTATGCGAAGACATGGAGAAAGAAATATCAGTTGTTCGTACTGAGTTTGATTCAATCAACAAAAACGTGGATATTATTTGTGATGCAGTTATGAAATTTGCAAGGTTATACGAAAGTTTGAGCCCTCAGATAACTCATCTTTCAACTAATGATAACAAGAATTTTATGGAGGTGTTCGAACTCTTGAACGAGCTTAAAAGTTTATCTTCAAAGCCTACTATGTCTTTGCTATCATCGGAAGAGTTGATCCAGAAATTTTCTAAATTTCAAGAATTACTTGTCCAACACCTAGCCCTTTTGTCACGCATCTCGAGTCTTCTTCCAACTACTTATGCCCCACCTGCTAGCACAGGGGTGCAAGGGGGAGAAAAAATATTCGCATGTTCGAAGATTGGAGGAGAAGATTCGAAAATAGTAGGGAAGGTATTTTCTTCGAAAATCCCAACAACAAAACTAATAATGGCAACAGCTGGTCAGATCACTTCAACAGTTGTAACAACTGTGCCAATCATGAAACCAAAAGGAATTGTGATTGGTAAAACTGGAGACATTGGTGGAAGTGCCTCAAAGCCTAGAGATAATGTTGTTGAGTCTAGTTCAAAGTCAAAAGTTAAAGAGATTTTGATAGAAAAATACAAAGAGGAAAAGAAAGCAGAGGTAGAGGCTAAGGTTGAAAAGATGAGAATGATACAAAGTATAATGACTCAAAGGGCCAGTGACCCTCCGGGCTTGAATAAGGGTGATCCTTCGAAGCATTACAATTACGAAATGATTGAAGCCAAAGTTGCATTCAATCACATGTATGCATTTGAGAAAAAGCCCAAGCAGAGTTACCTTGTCACAAATACAGATGCAGGCCAGCTGGATTTTCCTATAAATGAGATGATGTTTATCATGCCTCAATTTAAAGCTGAAAGCAAATTTAAGGAAAAAGATGAAGGAACACACATGAAGATCAGATTTCATGTTGTTCTTGCAAAATCTGCTGAGGAAGTGTGGTCTTTGACAAAGATCAAGAAAGTGATAAGTATAAAGAAGGGTGTGGTCTTCGAAGATACAGTCCAAAATTTAAAGTACGTGGTGGTAAGGGCGAATGGAAAAGTGTGTGAATTTACAGTTGATGACTTTCCATTGATGAACTTGTATGATCTTATACAAGTTGCATTAATTAGGAAGGAAATGTCATTTTCTTATCTACAAAACACTGAGCCATAAGAGTTTAAGCTGGGAGTTACTCACGTCAAAATCTTCATTGAAAATTATTACGAATGTCTGGAAATGACAGATTTGGAGTTAGCTATAGTGAAGGGTCTTGAAATCTCTGCTCCAATGAATCCTTCAAAGACACAAGCAGAACTTAAGAAATATGTTGATGGGGAAATCTGCTTGAAACCTTTTGGTTTAGTCTTTTCTGGGAAGGACAAATCTGGAAGATCTAAGAAGTTTTTATGTCAAGCAAGTGAAGTTGAAAGGTATTCAACTTCACAATATACAAACTTAATTGTTCGTATGAATCATTGCAAGAAGAATAATGAGGGAGACATGAAGGCGCTGAAAAAGATAATCAACTGGTACACAGAAATACGAAGAGTTATGTTGTATTCAATTCAACTTCTTACAAATTGAAGTCTTCAACTCTGTTTACAAAGGGGGATATTGTAAGGGTATTTTGTGTTGTAATGAGTCGAATTCTTTTGTACTCTTCGTATGGTTTATAATGTATTTTACTAACGCAGTTTTATTTGAAGCTTAAAGTGTTTAGTCCTTAGTATATTTTTTGTACGCTTTCCTCTCCTATAAATATGAGTGTTTACTAGAGTCATGGTAACAAGTCTTTAGTCTTTTACAGAATAGTCATTTTGTTCTCTGTAAAACTTGAAAGCGTAATAAACCTGAAGTGAAAAATCTTATTTACATATGTGTTCTAATCTTGCAATCTTACTTTGATCATTATACTCTGATTCATTTTGTACTTGATTCTTTGGTTCACCAATATTCTTAGCTGCTCTAAGGGTTGATTTTAAAGTAGTTTCCATTTTGAACATTAGGCCAAAGTCTGTGGGCAGTCCGTTTGCGAACCTATCTATCTTGGAGAGTTTAGTAGGCCCCAAGTAAGGAAATAGCTTCATCTTCTCAGTGAATGCGGTGGCATACACATCAACACTCATCTTCCCTTTCTTCAGGTTCTGAAACTCGTTGTTTAGGTTTACAAAATCTATCTTTGGGCAGTACTACATTTTTAACTGCTCCGTGAAGGCTTCTCAAGACATTCATATGGCTTCTCCTCGTGGCATGGTATCTACCAGTAACTTCCACCAACTTAACACTCCGGTATTTAGTTGTCTAACTGCAAAGATTGTCTTTTGCTTATCGCTGCAGTCATAGCTCTCAAATACCATCTCTATCTCGGAGATCCAGTCCATAATTTCCACTGGTTTTGGGCTTCCAGAGAGACTTGGTGGTTTTTCACCCAAGAAATTCTTATACATCCGCCTAGCCTTGTCATTTCCTTTCTCAGGACCATTCCTCCTTGCCCCTTGGGTTTCAACTTGACTCATAGTGCGGATATAATTTCCTTTCTCCGATTGTTCAGTGATCAACTCAGGTTGCACAATGGGCATGTAGGTTCATCCCTATTTTCGTGCAACATCTGCCTCATCTCTTCTGTTTGATTAGCCAGCGTAGCCCGAATCATGGCTTGTACTCCATCCATTGTGATTGGCTTAGGAGTGGATACTACAACAGGTATTTGCTCAATCACTGCTGGTTGAGGTGGATGATTTCTATTTCCATTTGCATTTCCACTTCGGGTTGTTCCCATTTCGTTCTATACACCAAATCAGACATTCGGTGCGAAACGACGAGAATTAAGATGGGAAGATTTTATTTACGATCGACGTGTAAATCTCCCTATTACTCCGAAAAGTTACATGCCAGTTCTAATACTATCATTAAACGTTTAGAAGTCTGAACACATAAAGTTTCCGGATCCGTTCAGCAACAAACCGTAGATCCGATCATATAATACACATCATAAATCATTTAGCACATAAAAGCATGTTAGGCATTTTCCTAAACAAGCTAGTGCTTTTGTCTATTCAGGTGTATTACCTAAATTTATTGGACACACTTATCACGGTCATCAATTAACATTCTAAGTTTAAGTCTAGAAATAAATCCATATTCCTAGTTCGCTTAAACTAATGCTCTGATACCAACTGTGACATCCCAATTTTCACGGCCAGAAAAGACCGATATTGTTTATGCTTTATAAAAATCAGATTACCTCTTTTAATAAAATGTTGCGGAATTTGTTCCCAGTAAAACATGATAAATATGTTATCAAAGCATTTCCGAATAAAAGTATTTTTATTCATTTTAAAACATTTGGGATGTCATCGTCAATACAGACACATAATTATAATAAGAACTTACATTCATTATCACTAGTGATATATATCTCCTTAATCTCTCAGTGTAATGTGACTTTATATCAACACCTGGGATCTAAATAAACTGAGTGGGTCAGGTTGGGAAACCTCGTGAGTACATAGGGTTTTCAACCCACAATAATATAATTATTATGTTTAAACATCAAACAATCAACCCAATTACCCATCCCCATTATCTTTTTTACTTCTAAGGATCTGCCCTAAGAATTAGCTATTTCTCGTTCATTCATTCCTAAGGATCATCCTAAGGAATCGACATGAAATCAATCGTTGCCAGGATTTACTCGACGGGCACTAAGTCGCATAGTCGCCAGGATTTAGGCACTAAGTCTCATAGTCGCCAGGGTTTATACAACAGACACTAAGTCACATAGTCGCCAGGGATTAGAGTACACTGGGTGAACACATCGTTCACAACACCTACAGTTTTGCGAGCCTACTAGTGTTCCACTGGACTGTCTAGAATAGTCCATGGTTGTTATCCATACTCTGCTAGATGACGAGGCCATCGCTTGGGTCATCGCTTGGCTCATTTCTTAGGGCATCGCTTAGGTCATTGCTTCTCACCATAATTTACCACTCATATATCATTGCTCATCGATCATCCCATCTTTCATCGCTCATCATTTATCTCATCTCTAATCTACCCATGTTTTACCCAACATATTTTGTAGATATAAAATACATATACAATTTAAATCATTTAAAACATGTATAAAATTGTTCATCCAGCATAAACAACAAGTATTCAAGTAATATGCACACATAGCACGTAGTTTATATAAAATACCTCATATCTATGTGTAATATGAAAGGGACCATGCACTTACTTGAGAAGGTAGTGACTCGGCACTTGAACAACACTTCGTTACTCTCAACACAATTTTCCTCGGACAAAACCTAGTATCATTACCACTAAAGTTTAGTCTAATATTCACCAAGACTAATTAATAGTCTAGTTATTATTACTATTATATAAGCACTAACCAATACTTATATAACCCATAATAATATCCAAAGTACTTATAAT